GAAAAGTCACATACCTGGGTTTTGGCTCTGCCACTCCCTCTTAATGTGGCCTTGGGCAAATGACTGTCCCTCAGTTTTCTCAGCTTTCAAAAGATGAGGATGAGAGCATTGCTGCTCACCGAGTTGTAGTGATGATTCAATGCAGTGTCATTATCATCATTTTTTGCTTATCATTCTTTAACTTATTTATCTCAGAACAGGAACAGTCACCCCCTTGCCACAGATGAGAAGACAGATGGATGCCAGTGGGGCTGGCCCAAGGATCCACAGCAAGGCAGTGGCCAAGGAACTGTTCCCCTGACTCTTTCCCTGTCGTTTCCCTTGCTGCCTGTTGGGGCAGCACCAGGAGGCAGGAGAAATGTAGGGTTCCATCCCCGGTTTGCCCCCAAAGCACCCCCTTCTCACTGGGTGGGCTTTGTCTTCTCGCTCCCCTCTCTGGGTCTCAATTTGCTCTTGTATATAATGCAGGTCTGCAGCAACCAAATGTTCTGGCTTGCTGGGAACCCAGGAGTTCCTGGGACATGGGACTTCTGGTACTTGTCTTGGGTAAACCTGGACAAGCTGGTCACCCCTCATGCTATCATATATTTCAAATGATGCCATGAGGCCAAAAAGAAATTGCTTAGTGCTTAGCAATTCTGTGAGAGTTATTCTTGGAACTGAACAGAGATGGAAAGTACCTGTGGGTGGGAATTTTAGGGATGGATTTATAAAAATCAGCTCTGCCTCAGTAGAGAGGCTGAAGCCCCAACTGCATCCTGTGCTGGCCTGTGATGGGCTCCAGGACATTGCCTCTCCAGGAGTCACCACCCTGTCTGTGGATGGCAGGAAAGTGCTAGAAGGTTCCCCAGGGCACTTACAGCATTGCTGAGATTCTGTGCTATTTAGTTTGAGGTCTAAACATGTGAGGTATATTTATAGTCTTCAGTGACTATAAGACCAGTGTTCTTCGGAGCCTTTGAGCTCAGCTCTCCACCTTGGTCTCCTTTCCCAGAAAATGCAGACGGCAGCCCCTGCCTTGCAAGGTTGGAGTTCAAGCAGTCTCTAACCTCAAAAAGCTTACAGTTCAGACCAGAGGACTCAAACCAGGGATTGAGGAATTGTTTCTCTTTGGCCCCAAATGCGTTTTAAAAATGTTTAGGACACCCTTCAATAGGTGAATAATTAAACTATGGTGCATCCATACCATGGAATACCAGTCTGTGCTAAAAAGAAATGAGTTCTCAAGCCATGGGAAGACCTGGAGGAAACCTAAATGCACATGACTAAGTGAGAGAAGCCAGTATGAAAAGGCTGTGTACTGCATGATTCCAACTCTGTGTATTCTGGAAATGGCAAAACTATGGAGAGAGTAAAAAGATCAGTGGTTGTCAGCAGTTCGGGGGAGGGGCGCAGGAGGGATGGAGAGGTGGAGCTCGGGATTTTTAGGTTAACGAAGCTACTCTGTATGATACTATAATGGTAGATACATGTCATTATGCATTTGTCAAAATCCACAAAATGTAAACACAAAGGAACTCCAATGTAAACTACAGACTTGGGTTGATAATAATGTTGATAACATGTGACAATAATGATAACATGATCATAATGATGCTGATAATAATGTTAGTTCATTGATTATAATAAATGTTGATTATAATAAATGCAGAATGTTGATGGCAGGGGTGGTCGGATAGTATATGGAAACTTTATTTTCAGCCTCACATTGCTGTGGATCTACAACTGCTCTAAAATATAAAGTCTATTAATTGAAAACAAAGTTCGAGCAGCCAACATATAAACACGGGAAGCTGCAAATCATATTTCTAGCTTTCCTTAAAAAATCACTTCTGGTGGTTCTGGTCCCAAACAGGTGGAGATACACATGGCTGGATTGCACTTGGCCATGGCCCCCACCCTCCTGAGCCTTGGAAGTACCCAAGTTTGAGACTCAGTCCAGACCAGGAGTTCTCAACTGGGGACGACTACATCTGGGGACATTTCTGGTTGTCACTACAGAGATGCATTACTGGCATCTAGTGGGTTGAGGCCAGGGATGCTGCGAAACATCCTTAAATGTACATGATGGCCCCCACAGCAGAGAATGATGTCGCTCTAACGGTCAGTAGTGCTGAGCTGGGTGCAGAGGGCAGGTTCTCATCTGGGTAACTTTGAAAAATGCTGATGGAGTACCACCCCCAGCAATCCTGATTTAAATGGTGGAGGGATGCTGCCAAGATACGGGGGGTTTCTTAAAATTGCCCCAGGTGAGTCTAATGTATAGCCACAAATTGAGAACAACTGGTCTGGAAGGTTCTTTGGTTGGATCAGGGCTTAAGGTATCCAGGATTACCATTCAATCATTCATTCACCCATTCATTCACACAGCCAGCACCTGATGATTCCTCTTCTCTTCTTTCATAGAGCGAGGGTCCTGGAGGTGAGTCCCACCTGGTCCTCCCTGCCCTACTGAGCGGCTCTAGGTTTAATAAGGACCTATTCTACTACTTCTCAAATGTCAGCGTGTTTCTGTGGATCAGACTGTGTCTCAGTGTGGAAGGGGGCTGGCATGCTGTACTTAATCAGCTCCTAGACTGTTCACCTGAGGACCACACCTTGAGCTTCATCCTCATCTAGGACTCTCAAGGAAGCCTGATCCAGAAAGGGCCTGCATCCCAGGAAACACGTTACAAATAATTTTAACTACCTTTCACAAGTGCCATAGGTCCTGCCGCTGACAAAGTTCTCAATAGATCTTCACAATAGCCAGGAATGGGACTCCCAGAATTATTCACCAATGAGCCCGTTGTACAGGCGTGCAAACAAGCTTATGGAGGCACAGTAACCAGCCTGGTGTTTACTCAGGGCTTGAGGCAGAACTGACTCCTAATTCAGAGATTTTTTCCTAAAAGCCAGCTTGGCTCTCAGCTTCATATGCTATCTGGGAAGCTGCCCAGGAGTCCTGTGCTCAAAATGGTCCCAGATTCAGTTTAATGCTCTGCTGTTACTGTCTTGAAATTCTTCATTTCTGAACAAGGGGGTCTGCAAATTCTGGAGGTGGTTCTGTAAACAGCACATGGATTCTAAGAAGAAACTTCTATAGAGGCTCAGCAGGAACACCAAACTGGGGGGCTAAAAGCTAAAACCAACACCTCCCTTTTTTAAGGGGCAGTTAGTACCCCACAGCAATCCTAGTAATCCTTGGGGTCAAGTAAACTGGGGTTCAAATCCCAAGGCTGTCATCTGTCAGCCATAAAACTGCAGGTTCATTGAGTATGCAAATGAACTTAGCCTCTATTTCCCATTTCCCTCATTACAAAAGGAGGGAATTGAACTGGGCAGGGGGTCCCCAACCTTGACAGAAGACAGCAGTCATTGTTGGAGGGGGCTTGAAACATGAGTGTGCCTGGGTCCCATCCCAGATATTTATTGGTCCAGGGTGGAGCTGAGATGGGGTTTTAAGAGCCCCCAGGACCTCTAATGTGTATCAAGTGTTCAGAATCTCTGAACTTTCTCAACCTTTGGGACTTCAGTTCAGATGATTTCCTTTATGACTCCAGCCAGAATCTCCCAACCTCTCCTTACATGTTCCCAGTCAGCCTGGAGACCTCTTTCCCCTGGGCACTTGTCTTGCATCCCTATGGGGCTCCCAAAGTATGCTAGGTTCTGTACTTGCCCAGGGGACGAGTCTGACCCAACAGGAACTTGTCCCCAGGCAGGAAATATAGTCACACTAAGACAATACAAGCATATTTTGCCTTGCAAAATAACTGATCTCCAGAAGAGCTTTTAAAGAAATAGACTCTGGCATATAGACAAGCAAAAACAAAATTAAAAGAAAAAAGCATGGCAAGCAGAGTATGATCGTATGTGCATAAGATCATGTGTTTACATCTATAACTATGAGGTATAGGTGCATAGAAAATCGGTCGGGAAGAGTCAACAACACATCAACTGTATCTTTTCCCCTTGATGCTTCTCAGCTTGATAGTTTAATATATACTACCACTTTTTTTATCATCTGAAAAGAAAAAGTTATTTCAATTCTTAGAAGATAATAAAGGGGTAATTGACATCTAAGTGGGAGAAAGGGTCACAAAGTTTCCAGGTGATAGACCTTTTCTTTAAAGCTAAATTCTCTTGTCCTTTCAGTTTTCTGTTGTGCTAGAATAATTACTAGGAGATGAACAAGAAATGTACGGTGAACCTTGCATAAAAATAGAACACATTCTAAGGAGGCCATTTAACCATCCTTTAAAAAAAAGGATGTGGGGGTCTTCCCTCCCTCCTGTGGAGCTGGTAGGCGGAGGCTGACCGCAAATCACCCTACCGTACCACCGGTTCTGCTCAGTAAGTGGAGAAAGGATCAAGGCCAGGGCTGGAAGAATTCCCGCCGGGCGCGGAGATCCAGCACTGGGGAGAAGGTAGGGGAGTCGTCCCGATGGCCACAGCGGCGAGGGGGCACTGGTGTCACTTTTCTCTGAATCTGATCACAGCCCCCAGCACTGCTGGCCCTTATATGGACACGCAGCTGCCGCTCCCGCTGCGCGCGCCAAGGGCAAGAAGGGAGGTCATGGCTGCGGGAAGCCAGGACCTCTGGCCGGCGGGACAGCGCCAACCCCCGGGCCTGTGCTCTCACCACGACTTGCTCAGGTTCACGCGACCCTCCCCTGCCAGGACCCCTGAATTTCTTTTCCTGGCCCCTTCCCCAACACCTGTTCGTCTCCTCGGTACAAGCGCTTCCCTCTCCACACCTCCAACCTGCAAATGCTTCCCCTCCCCCAACCCTCCCATCCTGGGGTCTCTTCTCTCTGCCCTCCCACCTTTCTCTCCCCTCTGCCCGCCCCCGTGTGGGAGAACCGCAGGATTTCAGCACCAGCCTGCTCCCCCGAACCAGCCCTGAGACTGTCCCTCCCCCCACCTCCTACCCCGGGTCCAGGGCTTCCACCTTCTCGTGCCCCCCAGCCTGCTCCCCGCCCCACGATGCCAGCCCCCTCCAGCACCCGGCACCAGCTCACCTGGCTCATACTTGAGGTAGAGAATGGAGACGATGAAGTAGCTGAGGTCGAAGACCGGAAAGAGCGGTACACGCGAGAAGCTGAGCGCCAGCTCGCCTAGGCTCAGCGCCGAGAGCAGATCCATGGCACCCGCCGGTCCCACCCCAGCCCCCGGCCCGGTGCTTCCAGCCGCCCGCGGCCCGGGGACTGCATCCCCGTCTCTGGGCCCGCCCCCGCCCGCCAGGCACCGCCTCCAGCCCAGCCGCTGCAGGAGAGGAGGGGCGACGACTGCCCCCGGGCGGGTCGTGGGGCCGTCCTGGCCCACGGCGCCCGGTTGCGCGTCCAGGACCCTGTCCCTTGGGCCATCACAACCCCATTCAGCCCAGCTGGGGGCCCCTGGGGAGCGCGGGTTGGACAGGGGAGTTGTCCGTTGCGGGGGATCCCTCCCTCGCGGAGCCAACCCTGGCAGGACGCGTCTGACGGGACTCTGCCGGTGGGGCTCGATTGGAGCCCAAGATCTCTGTGGAGCCCTTGGGTCGCCATCTCCACCCCTTGGGGGGCCCGGCCCTTTGTGAACCCCATTTTCCCATGCCCCAGGGGGATCCGTGCGGGAGCGACTGCTATCATCTCTGAAGCTGTAATGACCCCGTCCTTTGTGGGTCTTAAGTCATGACCCCCATCCTTCATAGGGACCCCAGTCCTCCGAGGGGTTTGCTCGGTCGGCCACCATCCCCCGCACAGTGCCAGCCTAGTGGCGAACCCCGCCTCCCAGGCCCCCAACGGGACCCCTTCCTTTTGCAAGCCAGCTGCGGCGTTCATGCCTGGGGAGCCCACTGCATCAGGATTCACTCCCCTGTGCAGCTCAGCGACCTGGGGCTCTGTTTTTCCAGAGTCCCACTGGACACCACCCCGACAAGGGAAGCAAAAGTCAGTGCGCTGGTTCTCCAGAGCGCGAGCCCTCACGCATGCGCGACACGCCTCCCAAGCATCATTCAATCCTGCCCCAGATGGTTCCACCCCTTATACGTCACACGCTCGTCCCGTCCATCCCTCGCGGCGCTCCGAGCCTTCCCCGCAAGGAGGGGCGTTAGCTCTTCCCCTAGGGAGACCTGCAGTGGGCTGCAACCTGCCTGACTCGGGCTTCGATTGGCTTAGGCCTCGCCAGCGCTGCTTCGAGATTGGTCAGCTCGTGCTCCTCGTCCCTCCTCCCCCCGGTTTCCGCTTCCGGTTCTGACGGACGCTTCGGCCGTAAAGATGATCGGGGACGTCCTGCTGTTCGGGTAACTAGGGGGACCAGAGACTGGGGCGTGAGGGCCTGAAGGGGCGGGGGCGGCCCAAGTAATCGCATTCCCCCTCCGCAGGACGCTGCTGATGAATGCCGGGGCGGTGCTCAACTTTAAGCTGTGAGTAGGCCTCTTTGAACCGCGGCTCCACCCAAGGGGCCCGTAGCCCCGCCCCGCCCCAAGCCCCGCCCCAAGGGGGCTAGCCCGTTCTCTGGCCCCGCCTCCATCCTTCACCTCCCAAAGCAATTAGAAACCCAGACTTTCCATTCCCTTGGGGCCCCTCTGCGCACGCTCTGGAGAGCCTCCGGCCCATCCGTCAAGAAACTTTTGTCCCTACCCTGGACCCAGAGACCACCCTCTCCACCTAGTCGTTGGCTGCTGCCTGGCTGTGATTGGCAGGGCAGGTGGTGGCCCATAGAGGGGCGTTGACCGGCCCGAGACCACGCAGCTGGTCAGCCGCAGGGCTGTAGCTGAAGCTGAGTGCCCACTGAGCTCGGGGTCAGGGCCAGGAGACTGAGCCGTCTTTCTGTCCCATTGAAGGTGGACACTGTCTGCTCCTCTTTGCAGGAAAAAGAAGGACACCCAGGGATTTGGGGAGGAATCAAAGGAGCCCAGCACAGGTAAGGCCTCCTTTCTGGATTCTGGAATTGGGCCATTTCAGAGAGGACAGTTCTTTTTCACCAAGGCCTACCCCAGATTTCTTTTCGTGTGTGTGTGTGTGTGTGTGTGTGTGTGTGTGTGTGTGTGTGATGGGTCTGAGTATGTACTGTTCCTTCTACCCACCTCTGCCTCCCATTTCTTGTGTGTGTGTGTGTGATGGGTCTGAGTATGTACTGTTCCTTCTACCCACCTCTGCCTCCCATTTCTTTTTCCTACCACACCTCGCTGTGTAGATGGGCACTCACATCACTTTCTACAGATGTATTTTTCCTTTATGTTGTCTTGGTGAATATCTGCCCGTCACACTTGACCTTAAGCCCAGAGAAGAGGTTCCAGCGTGTTTTGGTTCATTCCTGGGTCCTTGTTGTGTCAGCCCTCCAGATGAATGACTGAATGAACAAATAGTCTCACAAGTAGCTATTGCTTTTAGAGTGCTGCAGACCTGTTTTTTAAAATATTAGAGCTTCCAAGTAAGTCTGGAGATGTCACATAGAAATTCAGATGTCTGATTTTTCGGGAAAAATTGGAACAGTTGACAGACTCAGCATTCAAGCAATCTTTTTGACACCTGCTGGATGGGGTTGAGAAGCAGGACCCCAATGAGGCAGGGCCTGTGGCCTCTACCTCATTCCAGGCCCAACCCCTTCATCTTTATGTCATCTCTCCTGCCTGGTCTCTGGAGGCCCTGGAATTTACATTTGCTGCTTAATTTATTTGTGACTATTTGGACTCTGCTGGGACCTATACATGACTATTGAATTCATTTTCTAAGTATTTATGGAGTACTTGCCACATGCCGGTCACTGTGCTGGATGCTGAGGAGACAGCACAGAGCAAGACAGATGTGATTCCTACCTTGTGGGCTGTACTACCATGGGGTGGGCAGATAACTCATAAAACAAGGAACAAGTGGTAAAGGAGGAGGTATCAGGTGAGGATGGTGATGGGGTTGCTGCCCTGGCAGGAGCACATGACAGGAAGGCTGCCTGAGGAGGTGGTGTCACAGCCAAGGCAGTGGGAGTTGCAATGGACTGTTGCACGAGGATGGCAAGAACCCTGAGGAGCAGTGAATTTGAAGACAGTCTGATGGGTCTCCTTGACTAGGGGTCTGCCCAGTGGTGGCTGCCGCGTTGGGTGCTTCCATCTCCATCCCCAACAGGTGAGGGGCATTCTCCTGTTTTACAGGTGAGGAAACAGGCTCAGAGATGTGGCTTGACTTCTCAGGACCACACACCAGTGACAGAGTCAGGATTCGAACCTGCGTTTTCTGACCCCAGAGGTTATATCCTCAATCACTCGACCATCCACCTGTTTGTTCAGCAACAGTAGACACTGCTTCCCATTCTGTGAAGGCTTTCTACCAGCCCCTGGGGCTGTGGTCTACAGATCTCATTGGAGCACTGGTGGGTGGGAGATTTGGGCTGAGGGCCTGGAAGGGGCAGGAGCATCAGTGACAAGGACAGTCAGATCAGTGGCTCCCCTCGACCAGGAGCTCCCTGGAGGTAACTTCCAGCCACGAGTCTCTGTCTGCTGCTGCCCTTGCAGAGAACGTTCCTCTCCCTCCATTCCTTTCAGAGCTCCCTGTGTGCTGGGCAATGTGCTCAGGTCTTCCCAGTTCCTCACCATTCCCACCTAGAAGTAGGAAACTGGGACACACAGAGGCCAGGGACTGGCACAGGTCATCAGCATGGAAGGGCAGTAAACTCTGCCTCTACTTAAGGTCAGAGCTCATGCGTCACCTTGGCCTTTTTCTGATCTCTCTTCCCAACATGCAACACATTGGGTCCCCGAGTTCTAAGTTTCTAGGGCCCTTGTGGTGGATAATCAGGTGTGTGATTGCTTGTTGAGTGTGTGTCCTCTCTGTGAGCGCCTTACGGCAGGGCCACCTGTCTTGTTTGTCCCTGCTGCCTGGAATGACTGGCCTTTGGTCAGCATCTGTTAATGGCCAGAGTGCTGGGTTTCCTTAGGCCTGGGCTCAGAAGGGCCTTGCCAAGCAGTTCCTCTTAGACATTCTGGGGATGGACCCATCACTGACATTGGCAGTCCACACCAGGCCAGCACTTACATGGGCTGTGCTGCACATGGCTAACCCCATGGGTTGGACCGTGCCAGACTCATCTAAACTGAGTTTAGCCAGACCGTGTGCTGATGACGTGCTTGGATGGTGCAGCAGTGCCAGATGGCTATCACATGGGGTTGCTGTGAAAATATCTGACTGCCAGATATTCCATACTGACCAGACAGCTGTGATCTGTGGATGACACTTTAGTGGCACCCCTGTAGATACCGAATTTGGACCTTTTCTCTTCATTCTGGAGGCCTAGAGAGGGTGGGTGATTGACTCTAAACCCTGAAAGAATTCTGAAATCTAGTCTCTAGAGTCTTTTTTTTGTACATGAGCAACATTATTGTTACTAGATTCCCCCCATTATCAAGTCCCCACCACATACCCCGTTATAGTCACTGTCCATCAGCATAGTAAGATGCTATAGAATCACTGCTTGTCTTCTCTGTTATACTGGCTTCCCCGTGCTCCCCCCTTACATTATTTGTGCTAATCGTAATGTTCCTTTTTCCCCCTTGTCCCTCCCTTCCCACCCACCTCCCCAATCGCTTTCCCTTTGGTAACTTAGTCCATTCTTGGGTTCTGTGAGTCTGCTGCTGTTTTGTTCCTTCAGTTTTTGCTTTGCTCTTATGTTCCACAGATGAGTGAAATCATTTGGTGCTTGTCTTTCTCCACCTGGCTTATTTCACTGAGCATAATACCCTCTACCTCCATCCAAGTTGTTACAAATGGTAGGATTTGTTTTCTTCTTATGGCTGAGTAATATTCCATTGTGTATATGTACCACATCTTCTTTATGCTCCACAGATGAGTGAAATCATTTGGTACTTGTCTTTCTCCACCTGGCTTATTTCACTGAGCATAATACCCTCTACCTCCATCCATGTTGTTACAAATGGTAGGATTTGTTTTCTTCTTATGGCTGAGTAATATACCATTGTGTATATGTACCACCTCTTCTTTATCCATTCACCTACTAATGGACACTTAGGTTGCTTCCATTTCTTGGCTATTGTAAATAGTGCTGCGATAAACATAGGGGTGCATATGTCTTTTTGAAACTGGGCTTCTGCATTCTTAGGGTAAATTCCTAGGAGTGGAATTCCTGGGTCAAATGGTATTTCTATTTTTAGCTTTTTGAGGAACTTCCATACTGTTTTCCACAATGGTTGAACTAATTTACATTCCCACCAGCAGTGTAGGAGGGTTCCCCTTTCTCCACAGCCTCGCCAACATTTGTTGTTGTTTGTCTTTTGCATGGTGGCGATCCTTACTGGTGTGAGGTGATACCTCATTGTGTTTTTAATTTGCATTTCTCTGATGATAAGTGATGTGGAGCATCTTTTCATGCGCCTGTTGGCCATCTGAATTTCTTCTTTGGAGAAGTGTTCTGTTCAGATCCTGTGCCCATTTTTTAATTGAATTATTTGCTTTTTGTTTGTTGAGGTGCGTGAACTCTTCCTTTATTGTATATTAATTGACTGTATATGCTTGGTGCTAATATCTGGACTCTATTCTGTTCCTTTGGTCTGTGGGTCTGTTCCTGTGCTAGTACCAAATTGTCTTGATTACTGTGGCTTTGTAGTAGAGCTTGAAGTTGGAAAGTGAGATCCCTCCTGCTTTATTCTTCCTTCTCAGGATTGCTTTGGCTATTTGGGGTCTTTTGTGGTTCCATATGAATTTTAGAACTATTTGTTCCAGTTCGTTGAAGAATGCTGTTGGTATTTTGATGGGGATTGCATTGAATCTGTAGATTGCTTTAGGCAGGATGGCCATTTTGACAATATTAATTCTTCCTACCCAAGAGCATAGGATGAATTTCCATTTATTAGTGTCCTCTTTAATTTCTGTTAAGAGTGTCTTGTAGTATTCAGGGTATACATCTTTTACTTCCTTGGTTAGGTTTATTCCTAGGTATTTTATTCTTTTTGATGCAATTGTGAATGGAATTGTTTTCCTGATTTCTCTTTCGGCTAGTTCATTGTTAGTGTATAGGAATGCAACAGATTCCTCTGTATTAATTTTGTATCCTGCAACTTTGCTGAATTCAGATATTAGTTCTAGTAGTTTTGGAGTGGATTCTTTAGGGTTTGTTATGTACAATATCATGTCATCTGCTAACAGTGACAGTTTGACTTCTTCTTTACCAATCTGAATGCCTTGTATTTCTTTGTGTGTCTCTGGAATCTTACTGGAGCAAACTGCCTCTTCTTGGAGTGGTTTCTGTTCCGTGGCATTAGAGGGGACTAGAGTAAGCCATCATCCCATTTTACTTGCCTGAATTAGTATGCTTTTTCAGTTGTCAACGCTGAAAACCCACCTCAGAGTAGTTAAAACCAGTGGAATCATCCATGGGTAGAATTGTTCTCAGTCACCCCTGGATTCCAGACTCAAACCAGCCCTCCAGCATGGGACCCTCTGCAGTTCTCTTTCTCCTTCTGGACTGGTTTTCCTATCAGGCTGGCTTACATTGACAAAGATAGTCCTGGAATAGGGTTCAGCATGTTTTTTCCGTGATGGGCCAGACCATAAATACTTAGGGCTTTGGGAGTCATACAGTCTGTAGTGCAATTCAACTCTGGAGCTTGAAAGCAGCCATGGACGTATGTAAATGAATAGGCATGGTATACTTTAGTAAGACTTTATTTATAGACACTGGAATTTGAATTTCGTATGATTTTTGTGTCTCACAAAATACTGTTGACTTTTTTTTCTTTTAACTATTAAAAATTATAGAAACATTCTCACTTCATGGGCCACACAGAAACAGGTGACAGGGGCTGGCCTTGGCTCATAGACCGTACTTCGCTGACCCCTGCCTCAGGGGACTGGGCTTACATCTTCCCAGCCCAGCAAGCCTGGCAGAAAGCAAGTGCCTCTTCCCTAGTAGCTGGAGCAGAAGTCCCAGGGCTGACTTTCACTGGGCAGATGTGGGTCACATCTCCCTCTCCGAGCTGGTCAGGATGGGGGCTTGGTGCTCTCAGGGTGGTAGTGGCAGCTCCAGCCTGAGTGCTGAGGCTGGGGAAAAGCTGCAGTGTCACTGGAACACGGGGAGCAGTGGACTCGGGGTGGGCAGAAACCGCAGCAGCACAGGGCAGCCGTGGCGGCAGAAATGTTAACAGTGCTTGTAAAAACACTTTCTGACTTTCCAGGTGACAACATCCGAGAGTTCCTCCTCAGCCTCAGGCACTTCCGGGTCTTCATTGCCCTGTGGAATGTCTTCATGATGCTCTGCATGATCGTGTAAGTCCAGCCTGCGCGCCCCTGCCTTGTCCTGCAGAGCCGTTCTCCAGGACGACCCACCTGATGACTGTTCTCTGTCTCCTCAGTCTGCACTTTTGTGTCATGCTTTCTGCTTTCAAAATAAGAACTCTGCAAGCTAGAGTTGGAGCTGGGATCCACAGGGGTTAACCTGTGTCCCGTGGTCCCGGCTGGAGTTTCGATTGGAACGTGGTGTTTTCCTATCCTGGCTCGCCTGGAGCCTCAGCAGGGGCTGCCAAGAAACGCCTTCCCCTGTGCACATGGCTCTGTTACCTCTTGCCAGCTCCGTTGTGCTTAGCATACACTTGACGTCTGCCAAGGTGGAAAATGTGGCTTGAACAGCCAGCGTGCTGTTGGGTCCTGCTCCTGCCCTGCTGGAAGCCAGCAGAAGCGTATTCGGACTTTTTGTCCTTTTTCTGCCCAGTTCCATTTTTTCATTAGGTTTTAAAAAAAACCCACTCAGCTTGCTTCCCTTCCAGCACTGCGGCCATGACTCCTTCCGCTACTGCTGTTAGTGAATATAGCGAGACTCATAGTAAACAGGCCCAAGGAAAGATGAACAGGAAAGTCTGGCATCCTTGGCCATGCATTGGGCATCCCCATGTGTGTCCCCCAAAGAGGAAGAGAATGAAATCAGCTGTCCTAAATAATTGGGATGCTGAATTTGGTTGCTGGGTGGTCTTGTTCCAGCTTAGTGGTCACTTGAGGAGATGATTCCAGGACTTAGAAAATCTGGGGAAGAAGGGTTTCACTGTGCCCCTGAAAAGTGTCATAGAGCCCAGAATTAGGCCTGTGGTGTGTGCCCAGAGAGGCCCTTTCTGGGGAGCTCAGGTGCGGTCCACCTGGGTACAGAGGGCTTGTGAAGAGATCAAGGAATTTGCAGAATCATAGAGGAAGTGAAACTAGGACTCCCAGAAAGTAGAGTGGTGTTGGGGGGCTCTCCTATAGCCTTTGTCACTGTAAGTTCCCACCTGCCCATTAATTTTTTCATCACAACTGTCCATCATGGGCTGTGCTCTGGGCTTGCAGCTAGTCCAGGACAGCCATTGTCCCTGCCATCAGCAAATGCCCAGTATAACAGGAGGAACAGACAGAAAACAAGCAAATGGGGAAAAAAAATCAAATTGCAAGGTGGCAAACAGGAGAGGGGCTCCCAGTTTAGGGGGTGATGAGGGATAGTCTCTGAAAAACTGCCATCTAAGTCGGGACCTAAAGAACGAAGGGGAAGCCTGCCATTTGCAAAGCTGGGGAGAGGCATAGTAGCACTGGAAGCAGCATGTGCAAAGGTCCTGGGGTAGAGAAGAACTTGATATGTTTTTATCATTCTCTTCTGTCCATTGGCTCCTTTGTCCTCTTCCCCAACCAGCTTCCTTCACTGCTCATCTGCTGGCCTGTAACCAGGATGGTAGCTTCAGGCTGTGGGACCCCCCAGTTCAGCCCAAGGCCAGCTTAGTCAGTAGCCCAATGTCCTGATCATTTCCTGGGAGCGGAGTCTGATTGGCCTAGCTAGGTGTCACCCAGGTTCAAGTGGACTGGGGTTGTCCTATTTTCAACATAGCTAACATAGGTCAGCATTCTCCACCACAACTCATGGGCATATCTGCCCACTGCCTGTTCTCATGAATGAAGTTTTATTGTCATACAGCTATACCCATGTCTGTGATTGTTTCCATAACAACAGCAAGCAGGGCTGAAGTGATGTGACAGAGTCTTCCTGACCTGCAAAGCCTGAACTACTCACTGTATGACTTTTTACAGAGACTGTGTTGACCCCTGACATGGGCTAGCTCTGCCATCAGGGACCATAAGTGGGGGAAGATTCTCTCCAGAAAGGGCTCTGTCAGGGAGGCAGTGACTGGCTTTCCCAGGCTTTTAAAAAGCTGGAAATCACCTAAATGTCCAAGAATGGGAAGAGTCAGGTAACTTGAAGGACGACGCCTTCATGATCAACTGTGATGACCCATCACTGTTGTGCTGAAAGGTTCTGTCCACATAGGGGAATCTTTTGAAAGTAGAGAAGGCTGGATGTCACCTGTGTGCACACTCCGGCTTCAGTTGTGACTTACACCCAGTAAACATTGAATAAATGCTGACTGAGTTCCTGAAGTCTGTGGGGGAACACTGCTAGCAAGGGAATTGGAAAGATCTATTCCAGGCTGTCCATGGAGACCATGCTGTGATTGCTGGGAAAGTTAGTAGGTCCAGAGGGTGGTTCACTGTTCCCTGGCACCCGCTTATGTCTCGTTTGAACTGAGCTCCTTTAAAAGCAACCACTTGTGTATTGTTTGAACTGAGCTACTTTAAAAGTCATGAAAAACTTGAAATAAGGGGAGAAACATGCCTGAACCTTTAGGGACCAAGGGTACTAATAACTGCAACTCACTTTGAGTCTTCATAATAAGATATTGGTTAGGAAAGATAGGGAGAAAATAAAGGTGCAAACCACAGAGAATAATTAGTAAGGAAAAAGTGGAAGTCTTCACAGTTCAGTATTTTGTAGTCTATTCACGGGGTTGTGTGACTGTCACCATAATCTAATTCTAGAACATTTTCATCGCCCCAAAGGGAAACCCTGTGCCTGTTAGGTAGTGACTCCCCGTCCCCCTCCCCCAGCCCCTGGCAGCTGCTGATCTGCTTTTTGTCTCTATGGATTTGCTTGTTCTGGACGTTTCATCTACATGGGATCATACAACATGTGGTCTTTGGTGTCTGCCTCCTTTCACTCAGCATGATGTCTTCCAGGTTCTTCCATGATAAAACCTGTGTCAGCATTTCATTCCATTCTGTGGCCAAGTAATAGTCCGTTGTCTGGAGGTGCCAGAACTTTTTTGTCCACCCATCCATTAGTTGATGGATATTCGGGATGTCTCCATTTTTTGGCTGGTATGAATAATGCTGATGCAAACATTTGTGTTTGTACACACTGAACTTTTCTGTTCTCTCTGATACATCCAGAAATGAAATTGCTGGGTCATATGGTAACTGTATTTATCACTTCGAGGACTGGCAGACTATTTTCCAAAGTAACTACAGCAACTAACATTCCTACCAGAGTTGTTTGGCGGCTCCAGTTTCCCCACATTCTCACCAACACTTGATACTGTCAGTCTTTTTGATTATAGCCATCCAAGTGGGTATGAAGGTTGATTGGCATTTCTGTGATGGTTAACGATGCTGAGACTCTTTTCATGAGTTTATTGCCCATTTGTATGTCCTTGTTGGAGGAGGGTCTATTCAGATACTTTGCCCGTTTTTAAATTGGGTTATTACTGCATTGTAACAGTTCTTTTGTATTCTGGATACAAAAGTGTCTTATCAGATATATGATTTGCAAGTATTTTTTCCCATTCTGTGGGTTGTTTTTTTACTTTCTTGATGTCAGTAGAAGCACAAACATTTTTAATTTTGATGAAGTCCAGCCTATTTTTTCTTGTGTTGCTTATGCTTTTTGTATTACAGCTAAGAAGTCATTGCCTAACCAAGGGTTATAAAGATTTATGCCTCAGTTTTCTTCAAAGAGTTTTCTAGTTGTCATTTTAATACGTAGGTCTGTGATCCATTTCAAGTTAATTTTTTTGAAATAAGGGGAGAAACATGCCTGAACCTTAATTTTTGTATAATTAATTTTTGGTATATGTAGAGTTAATTTTTGTATATGGTGTGAGGCAGGGCTCCAACTTCATTCTTTTGCAATGGCAGATGTTCCTGCCTCTGTCTCATATTTTTTCAAATAGCCTTTTAATTTTGGAAAGAGTTTAGACTTAGAGAAATGTTGTAAAGATAATACAGAGAGTTCCACATATATTTTACTTATTTAATTAATTAAGGTATCATTGATATACACTCTTAATAAATAAGTTTCACATGAAAAACAGTGTGGTTACTACAGTCACCCATATTATCAAGTCCCCCACACATACCCCATTGCAGCCACTGTCCATCAACGTAGTAAGATGCCACAGAGTCACTACTTGTCTTCTCTGTGCTGCACTGTCTTCCCCGTGACCCCCCACACCATGTGTGCCAATCATAATGCCCTTCAATCCCCTCTTCCTTTCTCCCCACCAACCTTCTCCTCCTCCTCCGTTTGGTAACCACTAGTCCCTTCTTGGAGTCTGTGAGTCTGCCACCATTCTGTTCCTTCAGTTTTGCTTCATTGTTATACTCCATAAATGAGGGAAATCATTTGGTACTTTTCTTTCTCTGCCTGGCTTATTTCACTGAGCATAATACCGTCTACCTCCATCCATGTTGTTGCAAATGGTAGGATTTGTTTCTTTCTTATGGCTGAGTAGTATTTCATTGTGTATATGTACCACCTCTTCTTTATCCATTCATCTACTGATGGACACTTAGGTTGCTTCCATTTCTTGGCTATTATAAATAGTGCTGCGATAAACATAGGGGTGCATATGTCTTTTTTGAAACTGGGCTTCTGCATTCTTAGGGTAAATTCCTAGGAGTGGAATTCCTGGGTCAAATGGTATTTCTATTTTGAGTTTTTTGAGGAACCTCCATACTGCTTCCCACAATGGTTGAACTAATTTACATTCCAACCAGCAGTGTAGGAGGGTTTCCCCTTTCTCCACATCCTCGCCAACATTTGTTGTTGTTTGTCTTTTGCATGGTGGCCATCCTTACTGGTGTGAGGTGATATCTCATTGTGTTTTTAATTTGCATTTTTCTGATGACTAGTGATGTGGAGCATCTTTTCATGTGCCTGTTGGCCATCTGAATTTCTTTGAAGAAGTGTCTGTTCATATCGCCTGCCCATTTCTTAATCAAGTTATTTGCTTTTTGGGTGTTGAGGCGTGTGATTTCTTTGTATATTTTGGATGTTAACCCCTTGTTGGATATGTCATTTACAAATATATTCTCCCATACTGTAGGATGCCTTTTTGTTCTGCTGATGGTGTCCTTTGCTGTACAGAAGCTTTTTAGCTTGATGTAGTCCCATTTGTTCATTTTTTATTTTGTTTCCCTTGCCTGAGGAGATGTGTTCAGGAAAAAGTTGCTCATGTTTATATTCAGGAAATTTTTGCCTATGGTTTCTTCTAAGGGTTTTTGGCTTACATTCAGGTCTTGATCCATTTCGAGTTTACTTTTGTATATGGGGTTAGACAATAATCCAGTTTCATTCTCTTGCATGTAGCTGTCCAGTTTTGCCAACACCAGTTATTGAAGAGGTTGTCATTTCCCCATTGTATATCCATGGCTCCTTTTTCATATATTAATTGACCATATATGCTTGGGTTTATATCTGGGCTCTCTAGTTTGTTGCATTGGTCTATGGGTCTTTTCTTGTGTCAGTACCAAATTGTCTTGATTACTGTGGCTTTGTAGTAGAACTTGAAGGCAGGGAGCATAATCCACCCCGCTTTATTCTTCCTTCTCAGGATTGCTGTGGCTATTCAGGGTCTTTTGTGGTTCCATGTGAATTTTAGAACTATTTGTTCCAGTTCATTGAAGAATGCTGTTGGTATTTTGATAGGGATTGCATTGAATCTGTAGATTGCTTTAGGCAGGATGGCCATTTTGAAATATTAATTCTTCCCATCCATGAGTAAGGGATGTGTTTCCACTTATTGGTATCTTCTTTAATTTCTCTCATGAGTGTCTTGTACTTTTCAGAGTATAGGTCTTTCACTTTCTTGGTTAGGTTTATTCCTAAGTATTTTATTCTTTTTGATGCAATTGTGAATGGAATTGTTTTCCTGATTTCTCTTTCTGCTAGTTCATCGTTAGTGTCTAGGAAAGCAACAGGTTTCTGTGTATTAATTATGTATCCTGCAACTCTGCTGAATTCAGATATCAGTTCTAGTAGTTTTGGAGTGGAGTCTTTAGGGTTTTTTATGTACAATATCATGTCATCTGCAAATGGTGATGGTTTGACTTGTTCTTTACCAATCTGGATGCCTTGTATTTCTTTGTTTTGTCTGATTGCCATGGCTAGGGCCTCCAGTACTATGTTGAATAACAGTGGGGAGAGTGGGCATCCCTGTCTTGTACCTGATCTCAGAGGAAAAGCTTTCAGCTTCTCGCCATTAAGTATGATGTTAGCTGTGGGCTTGTCATATATGGCCTTTATTATGTTGAGGTACTAACCCTCTCTATCCATTTTGTTGAGAATTTTATCATGAATGGATGTTGAATTTTGTTGAATGCTTTTTCAGCATCTCTGGAGATGATCATTTGATTTTTGTCCTTCTTTTTGTTGATGTGTATAATGTTGATGGATTTTTTAATATTGTACCATCTTTGTATCCCTGGAATAAATCCTACTTGATCATTATGGATGATCTTTTTGATGTATTTTTTAATTCAGTTTGCTAATATTTCGTTGAGTATTTTTGTATCTGTGTTATTTTCTGCCTGGTTGATCTGTCCTTTCGAGTGAGTGGTGTGTTGGAAGTCTCATAAATTGAATGCATTGCATTCTGGTTTCCCCTTTAATTCTGTTAGTATTTGTTTGACACATGTAGGTGCTCCTGTGTTGTGCACATAGATATTTATAATGGTTGTATCCTCTTCTTGGACTGACCCCTTTATCATAATGTAATGTCCTTCTTTTCTCCTTACTTTCTTTGTTTTGAAATCTATTTTGTCTGATACAAATACTGCAACTTCTGCTTTTTTCTCCATATTTGTTGCATGAAATATTTTTTTCCATCCCTTCACTTTTAGTCTGTGTATGTCTTTGGGTTTGAAGTAAGTCTCTTGTAGACAGCATATAGATGGGTCTTGTTTTTTTATCCATTTAGTGACTCTGTCTTTTGATGGGTGCATTCAGACCATTTACACTTAGGGTGATTATTAATAGATAGGTACTTACTGCCTTTGCAGGCTTTAGATTCGTGGTTACGAAAGATTTAAGAGTGTCTTTACTATCTAACAGTCTAACTTAATTCACTTGTATGCTATTTCAAACACAATCTAAAAGGTTCTTTTTTTTTCCCTCTGTTCGTTTTGTTCCTCCTCCATTCTTTATATTAGGTGTTATATTCTATACTCTTTGTGTATTCCTTGACTGACTTTTGGGGTAGTTAATAGAATTTTGCATTTGATTAGTAATTAGTTGGTTTACTTCCTTTACTGTGGTTTTATTTTCTCTGGTGACAGCGATTTAGCCTTAGGAGCACTTGCTTCTATAGCAGTCCTTCCAGAATACACTGTAGAGATGGTTTGTGGGAGGTTAGTTCTCTCAACTTTTGCTTATCTAAAATTGTTTAATCCCTCCTTCAAATTTAAATGATATTCTTGCTGGATAGAGTATTCTTGGTTCGAGGCCCTTCTGTTTCATTGCATTAAATATATCATGCCACTCCCTTCTGGCCTGTAAGGTTTCTGCTGAGAAGTCTGATGATAGCCTGATGGGTTTTCCTTTATATGTGATCTTTTTTCTCTCTCTGGCTGCTTTTAATAGTCTGTCCTTATCCTTGATCTCTGTCATTTTAATTATTATATGTCTTGTTGTTGTCTTCTTTGGGTCCCTTGTGTTGGGAGATCTGTGTACCTCCATATCCTGAGAGACTATCTCCTTCCCAGACTGGGGAAATTTTCAGCAATTACCTCCTCAAAGACACTTTCTATCCCTTTTTCTCTCTTTTCTTCTGGTATCCCTGTAATGTGAATATTGTTCCATTTGGATTGGTCGCACAGTTTAGCATTCTTTCATTCCTAGAGATCCTTTTTTCTCTCTGTGCGGCGGCAGCTTTTTATTTCTGTTCTCTTAATTTTTATTTCATTTTCCGCCTCCACTTCATCTAATCTGCTTTTAAATCCCTCCATTGTATGTTTAATTTCAGATACTGTATTTTTCAAAGTTTCTCTTTCTTGAATTCCTCCCTCAGGTCTTGAATATTTTTCTCTAGCTTCATGAGCATGTTTATGATTTTTATTTTGAATTAGTCTTTCAGGAAGATTGGTGAGTTCAGTTTCACCTGGCCCTCTTTCTGGTGTTTGTTGGATTTTCGGTTGTACCAGGTTCTTTTGACATTTCTTATTTGTAGTAGTAACTTTGTGTAGGTAGTGCCCTCTAGTGCCCAGAAGCTCCACTCTCTGGAGGTGCTCACACCCTGGAGTGATGGCGGGGGTCACTGGCAGGCGGCGCTGGTGCCTGCTGGGAAGAGAGAGCTCTTCCCTGCTTCCTGGCTGCAGGGCCTGCCTCCACTGCCAGGGCCAGTGGGCTGAGCACACAGGGAGGAGACTCTATGCTATGCTCTTCTAGTTGCTGTAGGTGGCACCACCCTCTGGCTGGCCTGGAGGAATGGCCAGGGCAGTAGGTTGCAAGCCAGTGCCAGCCGGGAGGAAGGAGTGGCAGGCCACATATTGCGGTTGAGGGCCTCAGAGCTGTGTTGCCAGCCAGGGGGTGAATAGCCTGAAGTTTGTGAAAGTTCCCAACCTACTGGGCTGAGTGCACCGGGACAGTTTTGTCCACCTGTCCTTTCTCCTGAGCAGCAGTCTCTGTGCACTCCTTGCCTCTTTAGCAGCTCTCTCGCTGTTGAGAAGTCTCTCAGACTTCCCGCCTTTCTTTTGTCCCAGAGCAGGCAGTTGTGGGTACCTGTTCTCCACAGGTGGCTGGAATCTCAGTTTCTCTGAGCATTCCAACTCTCTTAGCTGTCCAACTTTACTAATCCCCCGAGCACCATGTACTGTAGGTTTGTGCTCCCAGAGCAGACCTCCAGGGCTGGGTGTTCAGCAGTCCTGGGCCTTCATCCCCTCCCTGCTCAGTTTCTCTTCCTCCTGCTGGTGAACTGGGGTGGGGGAAGGGCTTGGGTCGGCTGGATGGCTGCTTTAGTACTTTACCCTTTTCTGTGAGGTCTGCTCTTTTCCCCAGTAGGCAGTCTGTCACAGCCTTCTTTCCTGTTGCTCTTTCAGGATTAGTTGTATTTGCTATATTTTCATATTATGTGGTTTTGGGAGGAGGTTTCTATCTCACCTCTCAAGCTGCCATCTTTATGTATATCTTTTTTTGTTTTGTTTTTTGTTATCCTTAATCTACAATTACATGAAAAACATTATGTTTACTAGGCTTCCCCCTTCACCAAGTCCTCCCCACACCCCATTACAGTCACTGTCCATCAGCATAGTCAGATGCTGTAGAATCACTACTTGTCTTCTCTGTGTTGCGCAGCCCTCCCCATGCCCCTCCCATTATACATGCTAATCATCATGCCCCCTTTCTTTCTCCCCCTTATCGCCCCTTCCCACCCATCCTCCCCAGTCCCTTTCCCTTTGGTAACTGTTAGTCCATTCTTGGGTTCTGTGATTCTGCTGCTGTTTTGTTCCTTCAGTTTTCCTTTGTTCTTATACTCCACACATGAGTGAAATCATTTCCGTGTATATCTTTTTAACAGCTGTTTTTCCCCATGTAGGCCTGTGTCATAATTTATGTACCCATTCCCAAACTTCACGAACATTTATAGTTTCCAGGACTTTTCTATTCTAGATTTTCTTCAATGAACAGAGTTAACTGTAATCATTTGTTTTCTCAAAGGTCATTTTTATTTATGAAAGTCATTTGCAAAACAGAATGAGCTAACATAAAATGTTGTAGATTCATATGAAGTAGGTGCTTTTTAGAACCTTTTTCTTTTAAGTGTACAGTTGGGTAGTGAAGTATATTCACATTGTATAACAGAAGAGTTACAAGACAATGATATAAAATAATCTCAGTAATAGTAATGTAAAAAATGTTTTCAGAGTGATAGCTTCCCATTCTCATGGACATTTCTATCCTCTGACTTTTCCAGGCTGTTTGGCTCATGAGCCCCAGGTACAGAAACAGGAACCCACCTCCCAGATGCCGAGCCTTCCTTCCTCCACTCCTGATGACTTCAAGGATGGCTTTGACCTGAAAACCAGTGATCTTCCCAGAAAGCCCAAGCTCGTGGTGGGTGGAAAAAGTGTTTGCCAAGACGCGTACAGTTTCCCAGCTACGACACTTGTCTTGACAAAGATACTTTCATTTTGGTTTCTGCATTGGAATGCTGTCTGCCTAAGGAGTTTCAGGAGGGTTTATGTAAGGGACTGTGTGGTAGTGTTGCCTTCCGCACTGGTAAGAGAACACGTCTAGATTGTTTGATCCGGTTGTACTCTTCTACCAGGCTTTACCCTAGAAACCCGATTCTGGATATTTGTTGGTTAAGTTTTAATCACCACCCTTTTTGTTTTGAATTACACAGATTTTTAAAATCCATTTTCACCCAAAGATCTGAAACCGAAAGGTTGGCTTTTTAAAGTCTGATGCAGCCTCTGTATTAGACCGTGTTTATGAATAGCAAGCAAGTTCGTTGTTGCTGGGTCTGACAGCAGGATTGGGTTTGTGTCTAGATTCCTTCCCTGTCCTGATGGGCTCTGCTCAGCTGATCAGGGCAGCCGAGGTTGTTTCCAGGTCTTTAAGGGTGAAGTATGGTTGATTCCCACGGAAGGGAGATGCTGCACAGTTGGCAGGAATGGTTGGGAGGGGGGCCATGTTGTGAGAATTTTTGACTTGCCTTGAATCATTCTGTTAAAGTAACTTTGGGGGCCATTAATTGTACAATTTTCAGAATGAGTGATTTATGTGGTGATATCGGGACCCAGTCCCAAAACTTTGGGTTTTTGTTTTTGGGTCTGCTTTTCAAGTGGGCAATTTCAAGGTTGCAGAACAGTGGGCCTCATTCGAGGAAATACAGCATTTTGCACAGAAGCTTCTCTGAAAGTGAGTCCTGTTTTAATTGCCAAAATGAATGGTGTCCAGATCCCCCAAGTGTTTGATTTGTTTGTTGTGGTTTGTGAAATCCTGACTTGCAGGTGAACCTGGTGGGAGCGAAAGGAAATGCATAGACTTTTAGAACTAAATGGCGTTGAAAATAAAGCCTGTTTCTGAAAAGCTTTTGTTTATGTATCTTTTTAGCCAAGAGCTTGACTTCCAACTTGAACCATTTAGAGTAACTTTGTGGGAAACAGTAGGATTCATTTTGGAGGCTGTCCTAAAGTCAGAAAAGAGACAATATGAGATTTTTCATCTCAGATTTTGCTTAGTACATGTCAGGCAGGACCTGGGCAAATAGGATTTCCAGCTTGGAAGTAGTGAAAGAGCCAGTGGTCTCAGTGGGGTCTTGCTGGACCAGGGTCACATCCACTTTTACTACTGCTCAGCTAATGTCACTCTACTTCATTGCTTCTATAATTTATAATTTATTCCCTAGTTAAATCGGGGCCAGAAAGCACCCTGTGGTTTGTAAGTAGCAGGGAACGTAGCTGCTGAGTTGAGCCTTGCCTGGGCGTGTTATCTTGATGGCAGAACAGACGTGCCAGGGTCTCTGCTGGCCAGTCGTTGAGCTGTGTGAATGGTGTGAGGGAGCCTCTGAGGCCTGCCTTATCCACACTGGCTCTGAGGTTTCAGTGTGGTGAGGCATTTGTGGGGTCTGGGGATGAGTCGTGTCCTGAGAAGAGAATGCTGACATTGAGATTTGTTTTCAATAGTTGTATTTTTCTCCAGAGAACTACTATCTTATTGTTAAGTTCTTACAAGCTGTGTGTGACCTTAAGCAGTGAAAAGCAGAGGCTGCTGTACATTTTAAGTTACATCTCACCGATGTGTATCTTTACAAGGCTTTTTGAGAATGCTCATTAGCATCAAAGGTTTTGGAAGTTTGAACTTAGGTGCATAGGGTCCCTCAGCATGTAAGCACTCATGTTTGGGTCAGTTTGATGTGGGTTCAAATACCATCTCTGCTCTTTGGCTGGTTGCTTCCCCTCTTGAAGCCTCACTTTCTGTATCTGTAAAATGGGCCTGAAAGTTCTACCTGCCTGGAGTGGTTGGTTGTAAGGGTCTGCAAACTGAACTGTGGGGCCAGGTGCTTGACCTGTGGATGCCCTCACTGCCTGAGTTTTCTTCTTCTAGTCTACATTCATTTATGCATTTGGCATATCCACCATTAAAGATCATTTAAAAATACTGGAAACTGTTTCCAGCATGGAAAACCTTTCCCCGTCTTCCCATTCCCTTTCCAGAATTTTCTCTTCACATATTGGTATAAACAACATAGGTCCTGGAGTGGATAGAGCAGTCTGTTTTTATTCTGGCATTTCCTTCATATTCTCTGAGCCACCAGAGAGGCTTCTTGGTTCTCATTTGAGGCGTCAATAAATCTCTCTAACCTTGGTCCTCTTGTATGTACTTTGAACTTGAACTTTGTCTGCTGTTACAAATGCCACTGCTGTCCCCATTGTGGTGGCCTTTGACAGCTTCCCTCACTGGTTCTGCCCTGGAAGGCTGCATCGTCATGTGCCAACATTGTGGCTTTAGCAGCTTTTGTTTGTTTGTTTTTTTGTCTTAAAGAGTTTTACCACCGATGTGCATTCCTTGTAGAAAAACCCTAAGATAACAGTTTTGATCTGAAGGAAAAAGCCACCCATAATCACACTCCCTCAGAGAGCATCACCTGAGGTACACCTCCTTCTGGCTCTTTCTCTGCACTGTGCATTGGATGTGGGGCATCCGTTTTCTTTGCACAGGTTGTATCTTTGTATCTTCTGGCCTGCTTGCTTGTCTTATCTGGTGATATGACACATTTTTGTATTTTTTCCTAACATATCATTCCTAAGAGCTACAAATGAGCTGCTGTAAGGATGTTCCGTAATTAATTTAACTAGTTCCCAGCTGATGGAGACTTGGGTTGTCTCCAGTTTTTGTCTATTATAACTAACGCCATGATGAACATCTCAGTGCGTCATCCCTGGTGGCATTTTTGGGTCTCTCTTAAAAAGAGATCTACCTTGACAGCTTTGGGCTAAGAACCCCAAAGAAAAATGCATATTGGACAAGTTACATCCTTGTCTGTCTAAATTAGTTTGTTCATTCATTTGTTCATACATACACACCGGAGAGGTTAGTTCTAGAGCCCCGTCAACACTGACCCAGGAGTGTTATTAGGCCACTTCAGTTTGCTTAACCTGTGAGTAAGGACAAGGTTTTTCAACTCCACCCAGATAACTGTTTCTTTGCGCAAGCAACAGCAGTTGACATCACACCTGCTGGCTATCCACCTTGGTCTTGATGGTTAAGGAGCTTAACAACCATCTAAATAAGAATTGCCCGCTACTCCTTGTCCTGAAGCGTGTTCCATGGAGTCACTGCCAAGGTGAGAAGCCTCAGATGAAGAATGAAAAGCAGGCTGAGGTGTGCAGCACCTGTCCTGGCTGCAGACTTTGGGATTCATATTGGAAACCCCCCTTTGCTTCCTCCACCCTTGTCATCTTGAGAAATGGAGTGTGACCCTCCTTGACATGGGTTTCTCATGTTTAGTTCCAGCTGCTGTCGAGCAGAAGTCAGAAACTATGACCCCCAGGCCAAGTGCAGCCTGCTGTCCATTTTGTGAATAAAGTTTTATCAGCACCCAGCTCCACTCCTTTGAGTGTGTATTATCTAAGACTGCTTTGGCTGCCAGAGTTGTGGCAGAGACATCTGGCCTGAAGAGCTGAAATACTGCCTATCTTGTCCATTTATGAGACAGATTTGCTGACCCCTGAGCCTAGTGGATGATGGAGAATCTCAGTCCCTTTCTCCCAAAGCCATTCAGGTGGAAATGTCTGCATGCCTTGTGGTCTGGATTTTAATACCCATTTGTAAACAGGTTTTTCAGGTCTGCTGAAAATTGAGCAATCCGTTTTCAAGTGATGTGGTCAATAGAGCAAAACCCAATTTTATTTTTCTTGATGGTTAGGGGTGAGATCCCTCCTAGGCTCCCTGCCTTTCCTCCCAGCGGGAGCTCCTCTGAGCAGCAACACAATGTGATAATGAGATGGGCTTTCCTCTGAAGCGCTTAGATTTGAAAAGCCAACAAGGCTGTCATTAGCGAGGCATTTTCTTTTCATTTCAACCATTTCATTATCTCCTTCTTAACCATATTTGAGTTTGTGAAATATATGACAAACCTCCTGATGTTTTCCTGTGTTGATGAAGGATGTAGCGGTTTGTATATAAAGCAAAAGTCATGTTATTTTTTTTAACAAAAGACCAAATTCTGTTGGGGGTTTGTTTCCACCATTCTCTTGATTTTCATTATTATGGAGAGAAAAGCACTTGATCCACTTCAAGCCCCTCTCTGGCACTCGAGAGTTCTGTGAAAATGAGATTTTGGTAATAGCAAGGATTCCTAGATGAGAAATTGGGCAGAAGGACCTGCAGCAATTGGAAATTCAAAACCCACATTTTTCAATTAAAAAATGGCAAGAATTAGTTCATTGTATGTATGGCTGTGTGGCTTTATTTTGGCCAGCGGGTTTTGGATCAGACTGATGTCGACAAACTGCTGCCCCATTGGCAGTTCATGTTTTTGGCTTTGACCATAATGTCTCAAGCTTCCGTGTCTGTGTGGATCCCCTGTAGGTCTTGGCAAAGTGCAGATTCCGTGTCGCAGGCTAGGGGCACAGGCTGCGATTCTCTATTTCTTGACACCTGTCTTTCCATGGCCCACGAGATGAAATGGCTTTACATTTTTTAATGGTTGAAAAAAAATCAACATGCAAATGAAAGGAAATAAAAGTTTCTTTGTCCATAAGGTTTTATTGGGATGCTGCCACACCCATTTCTTAATGTACTATCAGTGGCTCCTCTTGAGCCCCAAAGACAGAATCAGGTCCTTGCAATAGAGACCATCTGGCACACAAAACTGAATGTATTTGCTCTCTGACTCTTTATGGAAAAGTTTGCCAACCCCTGGATTAGACGGTTTAAAAAAAAAAAAAGACATCTTACAGTGAGTCCTGCTCCTCTGTGTTGAGTTCACATGATTGTCGTGACCTTTATTGGCAAATGTGGGCCACGTGAGTATAGACCATGCTGGGGTATTTGCAGAAGTTATTTTAGGGAAAATGAAGCATTGGTGCATCTGATTAGAGTTTACTGTGTAAATTGGGAAAAAGTTGGAAAGGGCAGAAGTGGCAGAAAGCAAAGCAGGTGTCTGGGCCAGATCCGGGTTCTGTCCCTTAGAGTGTGACATGGGGCAGCATTATGGCCTCTCTGTGCCTCCACATCCTCATCTGTGACATGGGGACAGTGAGGGAGAGAACCTCAACACGTGGATAACCTGTATAGAGAGCGAGCTAGCCTATAGCCTGTCTGAAGTGCAGCAGGCATTCAAATGGTGGTGGCTGTGCTACTACTTTAATTTTAAAAACCTCCTTGAAGAGGTTTTATGAAGCTTAAATGAGTCTTATTCTTCTCAGGCCACCATAACAAAATGTCACTGACTGGGTGGTTTAAGCAACAGACATTTATTTTCTTGTAGTTCCGGGGGCTGGAAGTTCAGGATCAAGGTGATGGCAGGGCTGGTTGAACCCTGGTGCGGGCTCTCTCCTTGGCTTGCAGACAGCCACCTTCTTGCTGTGTCCTCACACGGCCCTTCCTCTGCATCCCTGGTGTCTCCCGAAGATCTTACAAGCTGTGTTGGATCAGGGGCCTCCCCTTGTGACCTCATTTAACCCTAGTTACCTCTTTAAAAAGGCCCCATCTCCACATACAGTCACATTGTAGGGCTTAAGGCTTTCAACATACAAATTTTTTGGGGGATGGAGTGGGGCACAAGCATCCATAACTGATGGTCAAGGGTGTCACCTGTAGGAAATATTCAATGGCTGTTGGCTCATGTTCTTAGCTAACAGTAGGTTTAAAGGCATTACAAACTAAAAAAACCTCCATGTGGTCTAGGAAAGCTGATCCTGACAATTGCTGTGAAGGGGCTTTGCCTCCTGTTTCCATAATAGAATATTTGTGTGGAGGTGGATGGTAGCTTTGACCATAGCATCCTAGACTGCCATGTCCCTGTGCGTCCCCTGTGGGTCTTGGCAAACTGAGCATTGCACATAGCAGGCTGTGATTCTGCATTTCTAATCAGTTCCCAGGGGGTGCCCAAACTGCTGGTCCCCAGAGACCACACTTTGAGTAGGCAGAGCCTATGCAGTCCATTCAGTCAGTCTGCATCTCAATTCACTATGATTAATAACCTCAGGCACAGCAGCTACGTTTCAGGCACATTTCAGTGTGGAAAACTCCAGTTGGGCAGTGCTGGATCTGAAGGAGAGGGTGGTAAGTTTTTTTAGTCAGGGGCCTGCATGAGTTTCCCTGTGGCTGCTATGACAAATGGTCATAAATGTCATGGCTTAATACAACGCAAATTTATGACGTCACAGTGCCGGCAGTCAGAAATCCACACAGGGCCTCCCTGGGCTCAAATTGAGGCATTGGCAGAGCTGCTGCTCTGCAGGCTCCACGAGAGGACGTTTTCTCGCCTTTTCCAGCTTCTGGAGGCCACCTGCTGCCTGGGTTCTTGGCCCCTCCTCCATATTCCGAGCCAGCAGTGACTGGTCGCAGCTTTCGCCTGATGCCATCTCTCTAATTCTGACTCTTCTGCCTCCATCTTCCCCGTTTAAGGATCCTTGTGATTCCCTCGGGCCCACCAAGGTAGTCCGGGGTCATCTCCCTATCCTAAAGTCATCTGATTAGCAATCTCACTTCATCTGCAGCCTTAATTCTCCCTTGCCATGTGTCATGATTTACTTAAGAGATTCCAGGGATTATGACCGGGGACTCTTAGGCACAGGGGTTGAGAGATGTTATGTTATGCTGCCTAACACAGGGCCAGACAGCCAGTACGTTTGGCTGTGTGGACCACACCAGTCTCCTCAACTACGTAACTGTGATTGTTGAAAACAGCCAGAGACAGCACATAAACAAACAGGCCTGGCTGTGTGATTTTTTTTCCTTTTCTCACCTTTAACTTTCCTATGGAAAATTTCAGACATGCATAAAGGTGAGACTAGTGCAGTGGTTTCCCATTACCCATCAGTGGTTTTTAAATCTTGCTTTATGCTTTACTGTGTTTGATTGTCTACATGAAGCATCTATTACTCTCATAGTTGGTGGGGAGAAAAAGACACAAAGAAGTAATAAGCATCTGAGTACCCACGAAGCAAGAGGAAAACCGACACTACTTTTGCGGTTAAAAAGAGAAGAGAAATAGAGCCTGTAGAAGAACATTTATCTTTTTCCACACTTGTCTTCCACGAGCCTGGGAACTGAGCAGAGCTCAGGACATTCTCTTGGGGAGGTCGTCCCCCCTGTGTGGCTGTAACAGGGACAGCTTGGGGCCAGGTATGCCCCAGGACTTGACACTCTCTCGTCTCTCTGGGCATCCTTTAATGCCTGTAGGATATGCTTTGGGGAGGATATTACCTTCATGTTGTTTTGTGTGTCAGAGAACCACACAGCGCCTTTGTTTCTGAGATGTTGCACTGGCCAGGTTGGGGTCTTCTAGAGTAGCTTCCTCCTGCTTCCAGCTGCTCTGACTTGATTTTTGACACCAGCCCCCAGCCCTTGTCTGCTATGTGGCAAATGGCTTGTACCCGATCCGGTTCATGTGTTTCCCTTGGAGTCTGGGAACCCTGAGCTCTGGGCCTCCCTCCTCATCCTGCCCCAAATCCAGCCACATGACTGTGGCCAGGTCCTCTGAGGCGCGAGGACCTAGTCGCCTGGGTAACCGTTTAGGTGGCTAGCGTGCCAGGAGTGGAGAAGACCCACTTAGGGGTGGGAAGAAATAGGGCCGGCCAGGACTGTGGGCAGCACGTGGGCACGGCCCGTGAGTGTGTCACGGTGTGGGGGAAGGACCTCCCGAGGCCACGGGCGGAGGCGAGAATCGGGGTGGTCGCTGAGTTTTTAGAGCAGAGGCAGGAAGGCTCAGACCCTGTAAGTGCTGCCTGGAGCAGGCCAGGCCAGGCAAGGATGAGAACTACAACAAAGTTATAGTTGATTCTTCACTTCCTTTACCAAGAAAAGAAAATCATTATCTTCTTTTTTATTTCTGTAGACACTTAAATAAAATGTGTATCAAAGCCATTCATTGGAGAATTAAAACAGCCACTGATTTTGTTTCTTTGCTTCATGGGAGTAACTGAGAATATAAAATGGCATTAAGCAGAATAATGGTCTCTAATCTAACCTAACAAATGATCAGATCAGTCCAGTCAGGTGATTTTTATTACTCGAAGCCTCCAGATAGGGGACATTATTTCAACAAGTTTTTTGAGATCTAAAAAAAATAATAATAGGCTGGCTGCCCTCCCATGGCCGCTGCACCCCCCACCGGGCGGCCCCACAACCTGCTGCTGAGCTCCAGCCGAGTTCCCGGGACGCCCGCAGCCCCCGGCTCCGTCCAGCCTGTGCGGTCCCCCCTCGGCCGGCAGGATGTGAGCCCCGGGGGCCGCACGCCCTGCCACCTGCCACCGCAGGCCGGGCCGAGGGCCACCTGGCTGAGGGATTGACAGACTGCCCGTCATGTTTTAGATTTTTAAACCAAGGAAACGTGGAAAACTTGATTCCATAAAGTTACTTATTTGAGTCTCA